TATATATATATATATATATATATATATATATATATATATACATATAGTTTTGCATTGGCGTCGCAATATCTAAATTCATACATGTTTATGCCAGCCAATCGCAGAGTAGCTGGTCACATGACCAAGTTGGCGATTCTCGGGAGCGTCCCGATTGACCACGGTAGATTGGACACAACCAACCGATGAAAAGAATTATCTAGTGAATTACTATGTCGAACCAATCATTACAATCTGTGTCCAATCGTATCGTGGTCAATCGGGTCCCACCCGCGATTCTCTGTACTAGAGGTTCTCTAATGTTTGTATCGACTTGTGTTTCTTGTTGAAAAGCAACCTTTGTAATGTAGAATTTACATCGCGTCTGATCTCCGACGTATGACGTTCGATATCCAATAGGAAAACAGCTTTCTAATATAAAATTCTTTCTAATATAAAATTCTTTCTAATATTCAATTCTCCATTTGAAAGTTAAGGTGCCAATACATGGGAGCGTTCCAGCGTCGAACGTTAAAGCGTTAGCCAATCAACGTATCAGGTCCTAGAAGTATACTTGTAATTCTTGCGGAAAGTGGCACGTTGATTGGCTACCGCTTTAACGCTCGACGCTCAATGCTCATGTAAAGGTATCTTTATTCTTTTATTGGATATCGGACGTCGTATGTCGGACATCGACGCAGTGTGAATCCTGCATAACTACTTAGACTGAGTTCCCATTGAGCGCGTCACGCGTCGCGTTGTCTGCCTGCGTTACGAGTTAACCAATTAAATCCTCTAATGGCTCCTGCATACAGAACGCGGTAATGCTTGCCGCGCGGCGGAAATTCGCACGACAGCCAATCAATCTGCTGCTTTCCGTAAGAGCTAAAAGGTTATTACAGAAACCAGAATATTGATTGGCTGTCGCGCGAACTTTCGCCGCGCGATAAGCATTACCGCGTCCTGTGAGCAGGAGCCATTAACACCGCCGCGCGGTAGAAGTTCGTGCGATAGTTAATCAATATGCTGCTTTCCGTAGTAACTTTGTAGCACTCACGGAAAAACAACATATTAATTGACTGTCGCGTGAACTTCTGCCGCGTGGTAAGCGTTACCGCAGCCTGGGCAGGAGCCATTACCGCGTTCTGTGTAAACGCGGCAGCGGAATTATGTTTTAGCCAATCGTAAAATAGTTGCATATTTTCGTAAAAAGTGTTTTACTGAGAAACTAATCTTACTCTTTACTAATTTATCATATATTATATCATTTGTATAAAATATTAAAATTATTAAAAACGTAAGGAATAACATTAAAAAGTCTACTTTTTGTATTATTCCATGTGATCCGCTTCTGCGTATTCCGCTCCATGGGACACAAGGAAAATAGAAAAAGCGCCAGAAGAAAAGGGGAACGGCTGTGATTGGTCGTGCTAACTCCGCACGTTCTGTTCCGCTGAAAATTTCTGCTCCGTGAGATGGCGCTCTTATAGCTTCTGCACATAGGACGCGGTAATGCTTGCCGCGCGGCGGAAGTCCGCGCGACAGCCAATTAATATGTTGTTTTTCCGTAAGAGCTAGAAGGGTATTACGGAAAGTAGCATATTGATTGGCTGTCGCGCGAACTTCTGCCGCGCGGCAAGCATTACCGCGTTCTGTGTGCAGGAGCCATTAGGGTGTTATTTTACGTGTCGTACGACAAGTTTTTCGAATACGTTTATTAGTTAGCGAATAGAATATTTCTAGGTTCTCTATTCATCAACCAATGAACGTATCCAAAAAGCTTGTTGTACGACATATGAAATATCAGCTTTAGGCGGAAATTCTTAGCGAAACGGAACATGCGCACCAATCATAGTTAAGACCCTTGAACTATGCTAAGCTACAGGCAATAGCATAGCATAGTTCAAGGGCCTTAACTATGATTTAAGCATTAGCCAATAGGAACAGGGAATAGAAATAATTGATCAATCTGAATTCCTATTCCCTGTTCCTATTACCTGTTGCCTGGCATTCTGCAAGGGTCTTTACTCCATTCTATTCACGAAAAGAATGGAGTAACTGTGATTGGTGCGTTCGTTCTGTTCCACTAAGAATTTCAGCCTAATGAGACACCGGCCTAAGAGCTCAATAAGCTCTTGCATCCAATTGGTATATATTTTTAGATCTAAAGGAATACGCCAATCAGATGCAAGAATTTACTGAGAGCTTATGGCTTCTGCACGCAGGACGCGGTAATGTTTGCCGCACGGCGAAAGACCGCGCAACAGCCAATCAATATTTTGTTTTTCCGTAAGAACTCGAAGGTTATTACGGAAAGCAGCATATTGATTGGCTGTCGCGCGAACTTCCGCCGCACGGCAAGCATTCCCGCGTCCTGTGTGCAGGAGCCATAATGCTTGCCGCGCGGCGAAAGTCCGCGCAACAGCCAATCAATATTTTGTTTTTCCGTAAGAACTCGAAGGTTATTACGGAAAGCAGCATATTGATTGGCTGTCGCGCGGACTAGTTTTCGGGAAAATATTGTGTAACCAATAAAAACGTTACAAAGCATTTGTAGCGTTTGCTGAATCGTACTTTTAATGAGTAGTATTGGGTGCGTTCAGCGAACTCAACAGTTGTACAACAGTTGAGCAATTCGCCAATGGGCGCATTCAGTAGAAAAAGCGCTCAGTGAGCAATCAACGATTATTGGTTCTTGCTATTAGATCCCTAAATCTAGACCAATTACATTGACAAATTACTCAACTGTTGTGCAACTGTTGAGTCTACTGAATGCAGCCAATGTAATTGGTCTAGATTTAGGGATCTAACAGTAAGAACCAATAATCGCTGATTGCTCACTGAGCGCTTTTTCCGCTGAACACGCCCATTGAATATATCCATTGAATTCGCTCATCGTGTGTGTGGTGTGTAACGGGCATTATAAGTGCAAGCAACGCGACAAATCTAATGTAATCTAATTTTATGAAATGGGGACCGAGGTGCACGTGGAAAAAGATTCAAGGTGGTCAGAATAATTGAGATAATGATATATTCAATATTCATGAATTTACTAGTTGAATGAAAGATATGCTGATGAGATTACATGAGTATCGTTGTCGGTTGTTATCGTCGAAGTCGAGATAAATATTTCAGCGCTGCGGTCTAGATCGCGGAACGATTCTGACGATAGATGGCAGAATGTCTTCGATAAAGTTGTTGCACGTGTTACATTACCACGGTTTCGCTAGGCTCGCTATTTCTCCGTCGCGAGTTGTAGCGACCGGCAGGGCGATTAGAGGTTACGTATTCGCGAAGTTGTGCAGAAATATGTCGTACACCACCGTTGAGAGGGGTGCGTTCAACAGTACGGACTACAGGGTGTTTTTCAGTGAGTAAACACGACGCATAATCTGTTACTATTTACGCGATCGCGGAAGTCACTGACATGGGCCGTGAACTTCGGTAAGGTCGCGTAGGGTCACGAATGTTCTCACGTCATGTACAATTAACGTGTTCGAGTGTTTTGTTACGTGACTCTGAGTTTTTGAGCGATATATCACGCAATATTCGCCGTATGTTCCGAATAACGGAACTTTGGCCGAGCTTTTACGCAATTTCATCTGCCGGATTTTGATCCTGAACGAGGTTCATTCGTTCTCTGTATTCAGTAAATTCGCTTGAATGTATTGGTACGCGTTAATACATGCTAAAACCCACGTATTAAAACTAGAAATATAAAGCCACATAGGTGTGCCTATTGTGTGATGAAATGTTCAACATGAATAATGCGGGATTTTTTTTCTTTTTTTATATAGATATGTGCTTCTGTTACAGGAATACGCACGCGATAACTTAAAATATGCGATGCCGCGCTTTCTTCAGCCTATCGATCCAACTCGCTCTTTCTCTCTCTTTCTCATTGACTGGCACAGTTTCTCTGTTCTGAATAATTCAGAATAATTTAGCTTTCACAAATTTTGGGAAAATGACAAATAATCTTTCATATCATTGAGAGCCGATTTTTCCAATTTCGGTACACTTACGGTCAAATCATATGTCCTTGTTTTTCCTTCAAATGAGACAAAGGCAAACATGAGGCCTGTCCGTTTTCGAAGAGCTTTTGAATTAGTTCATACTAGTGCAATAAATTAGAGTGAAAGAAAGTATACTTATTTCACTTTAATTTATTGCACTAATATCAGGAGACGCGTTTTACGCCAAGTATATTATATAAAAAATATGAGAGACGCTATCGGGTATCCTTTACGCGAAGGATAGAAGTCCTTTGAAAACGAACTTATGATTTAACTTAGTGTGGCAAGAGGTTAAAAAATTAGCCCCAAAGTCTTGCTGGCCATATTGTCGTTTTATATGTTCATTTCTCGAAAAAACAAAAATTTTCTATTTCTGTCAAATAGCGTGATAACGGCTATCGAACTCTGCTCGATGTAATCGTGAGCTCATGTACCGTCATATATTAGTACTTGTACGATAGGCTTGAGTATGCCGAGAGTGTATTAGAGCATTCAACGCGACTTCACTATAACTCAAAACTTATGGGTGGATCCATTAGATGTTGCAAACGCAAGTTGCCAAAAGAAAAACCATGATTGGTTTATATGGTACTTCTAAGTATTTGTAGCATCAAATGGATTGATGGATCCCATATCACGCTGGAATATCGATTTTGAAATAGCGCGCTTACGAATGCTTTTACACAGCGGTGTTCTTTCGCGATATCTATACGTGGACGTATCAACGTAAGCTAATGCCGCTGGTGGCATTTATCTCCAGTGAAAGTATGCTAGAGCATTCGGTTATGCGGAAATGATCTCGATCGCGTTTCAGACGTCTATTTGTGTGATTATATTTCTCTAAGCTATTTACCGTATTTTCGCATACTTGCATTCTTACAGTAAATCTCGCATATTTATAATATATGACCGTCGCATATGTGGTCTTCAACATTAGGAATGTATTCTTTTAAAATGCATTCACATTTTTTTACACACAGAAAATGAAATGGGTGTGCCAATTTCACCTATGCACGACATTCCACTTTATGTTGACAAGGAGAATAAAATACTTAATATGGTTGTTGAAATACCAAGATGGACAAATGCTAAAATGGAAATCTGTCTAAAGGAAACTTTGAACCCTATCAAGCAGGATGTTAAGAAGGGCAAATTGAGATTTGTTGCAAATTGCTTTCCTCATCATGGGTACATATGGAATTATGGAGCTTTGCCACAGGTAGGCATTATCAAAATTATATTTAGCTATATCTTTATATTTATATAATATATAATACAGAATTTTTTTCTCTCACACACAATGCTATATTTATATTTATATTATATTATATAAGAAATTTTAAGCAAGATACGACTCATGATTTTATTAGACATTATTTGTCAAGACAATAGGAAGTGTATCATTTTTTGATAATAATATTTACTAAAGAATACTTTTGTCAATGATTATCTCAGAAAAAAAGAAGTATGTGAGTTGTATCAATCATCCGATAAATTTATATCTATTTGTACAATCTCTTATCATCTTCCTGTATGAATCTGTAGTTCAAGATCAAAGTATCACTATTCTTCATTTCTTGTGTTATTCTTGACATTATTTTTGCTAACTACTTGACAATAGAACATTTATCTTTTAGCAAAAGTTACTTGATAATGTAATATTTTATTTGTATTTTTATTAGTATATTATAGAGTTATACTATATTAAAGTAAAAGTTTTCAAGGTAACAGAAAACTTTTTGATGTATTATTTTTGTCATTATGATATTCTTGAAGTCACTTGTAATAATGACATATTTCATCAACAGACTTGGGAAAATCCTGATGTTTTGGATGAAGCAACTGGCTGCAAAGGTGACAATGATCCTATTGATTGTCTTGAAATAGGCTACAAAGTAAGAGAAATATATATATATATATATATATATAACAATTATTTTATTAAAAAAAAAACTTCTCATTATATTGGATATTAAAAGAAATATTTTCAAATAGGTTGCAAAACGAGGCGAAATATTGAAAGTGAAAGTTCTTGGAACAGTGGCACTTATTGACGAAGGTAAATATAAGTTAGATTTTCTGTATATGTGTGTGTTATATTTAATATACAATATATTTTTATAGAAAGAATTAATAAACATTTTTATTTTCTAGGTGAAACTGATTGGAAAATTATTGTGATTGATATCAATGATCCTTTGGCAGATCAAATGAACGGTAAATATTTATTTTCTATATATTTTCTTCACTTTCAAATAATTCTTGAAAGATTTAAGTAGAACTTTGTAAATTTTTATGTTACTAATCTAATTTCTTTTGTAAAAAGATGTAAGTGATATTGAAAAATACTGTCCTGGTTTATTGAAAGCCACAATTGAATGGTTCAAAATATATAAGATTCCGGACGGAAAACCAGAAAATCAGTTTGCATTTAATGGTGAACCAAAATCACAAGAATTTGCATTAAGCATTATTGATGAAGTGCACGAACATTGGCAACATCTAATCCAAGAAGCTGACTCAGGTGGAATAATATGGTTTGTAGTTCTTTGTCTTTATATAGTCTAAAGTAATTAAACTAACACGTTACTATATACATAACTTATTACTTTTGCAGTTCTAATGTAACTGTGGAAGATAGTCCTTATAAGATTACCACAGAAGCTGCTGAGGAAGCTTTGGAAAAAACACCTAAGCCAGCACCTGAACCTCAACCTGTAGAATCTATAGGTAAGTTGTACAAATAAGATAGAGTGAGTAAAAATATTAAATAAAGATAATAAAGAACAAGTAAAATAAACGACATAAAACAAACTAAATACATAAACCTTTATATCTATATTTGTACAGATCAGAATATTTTAGTTAAAATATCATTTACATATAAACTATATAATGCTACTTATAATGTTAATTCACTCTTTCAGTTGACAAATGTTACTTCATACAACCTAAATTATAATGGAAGTTATAGATTGCACACAAAGATTTTATTGTTAAATATTCATATTGTATTATTTGATTGTTGATATGTTGATTGATTGTTTATTAATTAAAACATTAATTAAAGTTTTTATATATTGTATGTATTTTACATATTGAACTTTTACAATGTATTTCAGTTGATAAATGGCATTATGTACACCTTAAATGAGGATAAATGGATATCGTACGTTGAAGCATACACCTACCTGCTCTGTCTAATTGCATTTATGGAGTTGTTTCCTATTTGTTAGTTTTATACTTTTCCGCTGTGTATCATACGTTTCTTGACTGCATCAAAGTAATCGTGAATAGCATTCAAACAGTTCAATACATACATATATACGCAATATATAACGCAGTGATGTAATGTGAAGCATGCTGTTCGTCTATTGTTTTTATTATCAGTTGTTTTTCTTTTATCAAATATTTTGACATATTTGTAGATAAAACGGCAAAATTATTTATTGCAAACATCTTTCGACATATACCGCATATGTATCTCTTTTGTTATGACACTGGACTATTCATAGTAGCACGTTCCTACTATAAAACGAACATAGTCTCATTATGGGTAGTGCTGCAGAGGTATAAGGTCGTTCCGAGCAAAGGAGGATTCTTTGGATGAAAGAATGTGGTTAGGTTCCTTGACAGTATTTGTTCCGGCATGGAGATAATAATAAATAAACTGGAATGAATACATATGTGAGTTACTTCCTTATCCTTAACTCTCAGTACTTTACACTTTCAACACATATCGTATTTGTATTTATTTATTTCTTAATTCTTTTTCCACGTGTTAATCGACTGAAGGCGAAGAGTGCTTCCATCATTTTCCGAGGAATGTGTGAAAGCCATTGTTTGGGTTGAGCGGAAAAACACGTTGCGGCTGCGGACGATCTAGTCGTGTTTCGGCGAATAACCGCGTGCCTAGCCGCCACATTTCGTGGAAAGTAGTCTCCGAGGAGACATTTGCGCTCGCTTCAAGATGTAGTTAATACACGAACCGCGAGCTATATATAAATATATAAATATATATATATATATATATATATATATATAT